TAAGACTCCAATAGGAACATTTAGTACCCAATCGGAGTCCAATGTTCGGTTAAACTACTGAATATTGATTTGATTTTTTTCCGGAAGATAAAGTAAGGTATGATTTTTTCCAGCAGAAAAAAATCAGTAACAAAGGCTGGATTTTTTCTGAAGAAAAAATGTCTCAGTAACTGAGGTCGGATTTTTTTTACCGCAAAATCAAGAACATTTTAGCAATTGAGATCCTGCAGAAAAAATCCCCTGCAAGACAGGGGTCTTTCTTAAGACTCCAATAGGAACATTTAGTACCCAATCGGAATCCAATGTATCAAATTAGAAAAAGTTCGGTTCAACTACAGAATATTGGGGGTCTAAAATCTGATTTTTCCCAAAGATAAAGTGAGGAATGATTTTTTTTCCTGCAAGAAAAAAAAATCACAATAACAAAGGACGGAGTTTTTCCTGAAGAAAAAAATGTATTAGTAACTGAGGAAGCAGATTTTACGGCAGAAAAAAAAACTTCAGTAACTGATGCCGGATTTTTTCCTGTAAAACAAAATAATATGTCTCAGCAATTTAAGTCTGAATTTTTCCCATAGAAAAAAATGCCTCTGTAAGAGAAAGGTATTTTTTATCAAAAAAAATTAAAAAAAATCTATCCAGACCTCTGAAAAAAATATTTGCAGGGCCCTGAAAATGTTCACATGACTTCCAACAAACAAACAATTCTCCCCATGCATAAATTTCATAATTTTTTTCAACACTGAAAAAATTGTTTCATCGAACTTATTCAAAACATTTCTCTCATGCAACATATTTTTCATTCGGATAATTAGGATGATGACTATTATTATTGTTGTTGTGGTTGTTGTTGCTTTTGTTGCTATTGTAAATGTTTGAATTACTGGCATGTAAAGAATGATGCTGGTGGCTGCTATTGCGTTTTGCCGTGGCCGCAGACAAATGTAATGACGAAGTCGATGACGACTGTAATGGTATGGAGTTCGAGCTTAAAACATTACGATGGCATTGCTATTATAATGGCCACTATTCGTATGAGGTGGTATATAGCCTAAACTATGATGCTGCTGGTGATGATGCTGTTCATCATCAACCAAGGTATTGGCACTACTGCTATTCCCGTTCGTGTTGTTGTTAAGTAAATCATTTGACGAATGATGTGCCGACGACGAATTACTATTGAACAATGAATTACTACTTAGTATTAGATCATCTAAATTTTTACGAGTTGCCTTGAGAACATTATCCAGACTACCATTAAGGGAGGCTAGATTTTGTTCATTGGAGGAGGAGCCGCCACCGCCACCCATCATTGACAACTGACCGCGAATGTTTGATGTTGAATGATTTTGTCCACCACCACCATCAAAATCATTGGCCTCGGTTGTCGATGTTGTGATGGGTGGTGAGTTGTCGGCATTTAATAAATTTAAATCGGAATCAAAAACTGCCGATTTTTGCATTAATTCATGATAGTAATAGGGGGTGGTACGTGGCTCTAGATTTTGTTGACGACTATTATTGTTGTTGTTCGTGTTCGTGTAACGTAAACCTTGATGACCACCGCCGCCGCCATTATTACTATTACTACCATATGAATTCAAACCATAACCTCCTGACCTATTTTGCATTGCCGAATTATTGGAGAGATTCGAAAGTGTGGATGAAGCCAATGTGGTCGAGGTGGTTAAATTTGAATTGGATACATTATACGATTTTGAGGTACTACGCGAATGACTGCGATATGGTCGTTGAGGCATTATAATTTCCGTTTGAGAACCACGATATTGTGAGTCACCCAAACCACCACCACCTTCGGTGAGGAGGCCCTCATCGCTACCATTTATCGGATCATCTTGAAACGCATAATTTGAATTTGGTAAACCATTTGGCATTGAGGAGGATGGTTTGATAATTTGGGGTGGTGCGGGTAACATTTCATATGATGTAATACGCTGCTGTTTAGGTAATTCATTGTTCATAGTTGTCAAGGCATCCGGAGGCCTAGGTGGTATCAAGTCATTACAATCATCGTCATCGTCTTCGTCATGATAGTCTGAATGCTGTTGCGCATGGCGATTTCGATTAAAGTCATGTCTTGTGGTTGTGGCTAGCGTAAATGAATTATGTCGCTTAACAGATGATGCCGACTTATTATTGACGACAGCGGGACTAGCAGCAGAACTATTATTAGCAACACTTAGGCCAGATGCATTACTATAACGTGGCACCGATGACGACATGGGTCGACAACAGGGTAATTTACATGGTTGTGCTATATAGGGAGGGAATATCATTTCGATTTGAGGATCGGGTATCTGTTTGATTTGTGTTGAGGGCAGGAAAATAAACAATTTTTCCGATTTCCATTGTTCACAGTTTGGTGGGGAGAAAATTGTGGATTGGAGGTGTGTTGGGCGGGAAAATTAAAAACATTGTTAAAAAAAGAAGTTTTGTTAGATAAATTTATTTAGACCTGTAAAAACCTAATCAAAAAAAGCTAATGGTAGCCTAAAAGTATGCTATAAAATTAGAAATATTGCCTAACACTGCAAAATGCTTAACAAGGCTTTTCATTCGTTTTTTTTTAAAGGGCGTCCATTAACACACAAGATGTCTACATTTTATTGTCTTTTTATTACATGAAGCATGATGCTGTATAACTTTTCTTGACATTAGGATAATACATTATAGTCTTAAGGATTACTTTATATTGTTTTTAATTCTAATCTTATTGATAAAAAAAAGACTCAATAAAATATAACTTATAACTTATATTCGTTTTTTTATTTAGTTTTTGTATAGAAAAACTTTTGGGACAGGAGCACATTTTTTCTATACTCAGGAGCTGAGGAATTTTTGTTAAGAAAAAACTATGCTTAAGACCTGAGGACTTTTTTTCTTCAGAAAAAATCTGTTCATAGGATCTGAGGATTTTTTTTACAGAAAAAATATCCTCAGGACCTGAGAATTTTTTTCAGCAGAAAAAACTATGCTCAAGACCTGGGGAATTTTTTTTCTAAAGAAAAAAACTATTACCAGGAACTGAAGAATTTTTATCTCCAGAAAAAAACTATCCTCGGGACCTGAGAAAATGTTTTCTAAAAAAAAACATCCTCAGGACCTGAGAAAATTTTGTTCTAAATAAAAAAAAAATATTCCCAGAAACTGAGGAATTTTTATCTCCAGAAAAAAACTATCGTAAGGTCCTGAAAAATTGTTTTCTCAAGAAAAAAACTATCATTAGGGCCTGTGGAATTTTTCTTCTAAAGAAAAAACTATCCTCAGGTTCTGAGGAAACTTTTTTCTTGAAGAAAAACTATCCTCAGGACCTGACCTGATTTTTTTCTGAAGGAAAAACTATTTTCAGGATCTGAGGAATTATTTTATTTTTCTAAAGAAAAAACAATCATCAGGACTTGAGGAAATAGTTTTCTAAAGGAAAAACTATCCTAAGGATCCGAAGATTTTTTTCTAAAGAAAACAACCATTCTCAGGACCTGAGAACATTTTTTCCCAAAGAAAAAACTATGCTCAAGACCTGAGGAAATTTTTTTAAACAAAAACTATCCTCAGGAGTTTCTTTCTTAAGAAAAAACTACTCTGGACATGAGGATTTTTCTTGAAGAAGAAAAAAACTATCCTCAAGACCTGAGCAAAGTTTTGTTTTTTATATGGAAAAATGAGATCTCAGTTCCTATGAAACTTTTTTTCACAGAAAAAACTATCGTTTGGACCTGTGATTACTTTTTTCCTATAAAATAAAATTCCTCAGGACCTGGGGTTACTGTTTTATATACAAAAAGATTTCCTCAGGACCTGAGGTTACATTTTTCTATTAAAAAAATTCCCTCAGGACAAAAGCTTACTTTTTTCTATAGAAAAAAAGTTCCTCAGGACCTGAGGTTCCTTTTTTCTATAGAAAAAATGTTCTCAGTAACAGAGGTTACTTTTTTCTATAGAAAAAATCTCCAAAGGACCTGAGGTTACTTTTTTCTATAGAAAAAAATATCCACAGGACCTGAGGTTACTTTCTTCTATAGAAAAAAATCTCCAAGGGACATAAGGTTACTTTTTGCTATAGAAAAAAATCTCCAAGGACCTGAGGTTACTTTTTTTCTATAGAAAAAATCCTCACGACCTGAGGTTACTTTTTTTATAGTAAAAAATTCCTCAGCTCCTGAGGTTACTTTCTTCTTTAGAAAAAAAATTTGTCAGGACCTGAGGTTACCTCTTTTTATACAAACAAATTTCCTTAGCACCTGAGATAGTTCTTTTTCTATAGAATATGGAATAAAAAATAAAAGCTCCTCAGATTTTTTTGTTAAGAAATTACGAAATCTGAATATTTTTCTTCATACACTAATTTGGAAATCTAAAAATCATTGCCTATTTTAAGGGATATAAAAAAATTATTTTAAATATCCATGGAGGATAAAAATCTGGAAAAGATCTAACTTTTGTTTGACAAAAAATAAATTAATATATTAATAACTTTTTTAATATATGTATATATACACAACATCAATATTACTAGTTCTTTATGACATGCCAATATATATAAAAATTAAAAAAATCCATTTAAAAAAATTAAGAAATAAAAAAAAATAAATAAACCCTTCACCAATTGAGTTAAGATACTACAAAAATTAAAAAAGACTACCATTTATAAAAAAAAAAAAAAAAACAAAAAAATATTTTTAAATAATTTTGTAAAAAAATAAACAATAAAATAAATAAAAAAATCACACGACGACGACATTCATATAGACGACATCTATATTTCTATGTATATACGAAATAAAATAAAATAAAAAACCAATAATAATAAAATATTCTACATTACAACAACATACCTTAGTTTCTGACATCCAGACAGCACCGCTCTGTTGCAGATCAATGGCATCACGTAATTTACGATACCAACTTTCCTCATCGTTGAGAACAATGTGTGTACTAAAGATATGTGACCACACCCGTTCCAATTTCTGGCATTGTTCCAATAATTTCTTTGAACTTTTATGTGCCGATTTGGGCATACCTTGACGTAGCTGTTTGATAACATGTTTACTATCGGTCTTTTGGAATATAACAATCGGATAGAATTGGGCATAGTTGAGACGATCCACAGCATTGGGTGTTATATCGAGTAGGGCATGTTTTCCTCGATCCATAACATCACGTATATTCGATAGACGTACAATGCGACATTTTGAATTTGTTGTCTTATCATCATCCTGCAGTGGGGTACAGAATTTATCGGGATAATCTTTAGCTAGCTTTTCACGAGCCAAATCGGCGATGGGACCGAATATGACAACGGGTCGTACAAAACCAGGGTGGCGTAGAACAACACGTTCATAGGCTGGGAATTTGGAAATGCTATCGGAGAAGACAACATCATCCCAGTTTTCACGTGACAAACTCTTGGAACGGCGATGGGTGGATCTGAAAAGGTAATAAAGGGAAGTTAGTATTGTGAAAAGTGGGGAAAAATTCCTTAGAATCTGAGAACAGTTTTTTTCCATAGAAAAACTTTTCTATAGAGACTAAGGAGATTTTTTTTCATTTACTCACCTCCTTCGCCGGAAGAAATTACCCCTCGATTCGCTGGCATTCATCTCCTTCTTGGTCGCATTAAATTGTGCCGTTGCCAATTCCTCGGCACGCGATTTATTCGGTATAACACCACGTTGCATTTCCTGATGCCCTCGGCCAATTTTCAACACTTGCCACGAACCGACCACACCATTATGCAACGTATCAATTACACGGAAGACATCACCAGCTTTAAAAGCCATTTCACCTTTAGAAGGATTATCGCAATGGAAATGTGTTTTAATGTGGAACGAATCACCACGCTGATTATTCACCACCTCGTCGTATTCCTCCTTGCAGTATTGGACAATCAAATCGATACGATCCTGCAGTGAGAGTAGGAAGAGTACAGCTTCTTCACGGGTAACACCCAACATATCCATATCATTGACTTTGAGGATTTTATCGCCGGGCGTTAGACCTTGCAGAGAAGCTGGTGAGCCTGGCTGGACGGCTGTAACAAAAATGCCAGCCTCATTGCCGCCGGTAAGGCGTATTCCAACACTACCCTCCTTTTGGAATGATATAAAACGTGGCTCGGATGACTGTCGAGATCTGGTCAAGGGATCATCTTCATACAATTGGCGTCTTGAGCTGTAGAAATCTTCTCCGCCATTAACAGCACCTGATGCGCCAGCACCTCCTCCTCCGCCGCCAGCTCTTGGTGGTGGTGGCCTAGGTGGTTCATCAATACGTGAACGACCACCACCATTTGTGGGTGTCACAGGTCTATCCAGCTGCTGTAGGGAAACACCCTCCATTATGGGACCCCTTGATCTACCACGTGGCGTTAAATTACTCTTCTCATCATTCAAGCCACCATTCATGGGACCATTATTCGAGGTCCTTGTGGGTGGTTGCACATAAAGATTCTGAGACGAATATGTGGCACCACCATTCAAATAGGGATCATCTAAATTATTGCTACAATTCGATAGCTGAGGTTGATGCGTACCATAAATGTTGGCCTGAGCTGCTGCGGCTGCTGCACTGGAATTATTCAATTGATTGACGACGGTAATCGGTGGCTGATTGGTTATATCACGTAAAGCTACCAAATTTAAACGTTCCTTACAGCCATCAATGATCTTTTTGGCTTCTTTCAGACTCATCGTATCGGCACAATTGGTATTGTGGATGCGGGTGATAATATCACCCTCTTGCAGGGAATAACCATTGGCTGCCAATTGATCACGAGCTTTTGAAGAGATCTCTTTAACGAAGAGACGACAGCCGAGGACAATACCAAAATCTTCTTTTTTACTATTTTTTGTTAGGGTCACTTTAATGGGTTGGCCCATGCCGGGACCATTGGCTTGAATTAGAGATGAATTTAATGAATTTGGTTGACTCATGGCTGTGGTAGGATTGGGCGGCACCACCATCGAATTGATACCATTCGTCTGTGGCATAGAATTTAAGCCATTCATGTTGTGTTGTTGTTGGTGCTGCATTTGTTGTTGCTGCTGTTGATTTGCTACTACTGTATTTAGTGGTACACGACGTTTCACCACTAATGTTACGGTATTGCCACTGTCACGTAAAACTTGTACAGCTGTGGCGTATTCAACGTTCTCAAGTGATACACCATTGACGGAAATAATGCGATCATTGACTCTGTAAAGAGGAAAAGAGGGAGAGACATTTTTAATAGGGCTTTCTATGGGCAACGATAAGTAAATAAGAGGATTACAAATTAAAATCTAAGGGTCATTAAGTGAAAATAAATCTCTAAACGAAATAACTCAGGGTCTGCAGAAACATTTATATCTTCTATAGAAAAATGTATCCAGAGAATTTTTTTTTGTATAGAAAAATATATCCTCAGTGTCTGAGAATTTTTTCTTTTGGTAGATAAAACAAAAATCTATAAAAAAATGTATTCTCAGAGTCTGAGGATTTTTTTCTATATAAGAAAGTGGATTCTGAGGGTCTGAGGAATTTTATCTATAGTAAAAATATCCTCATGGAAGACACTAGGGGACACTCCGAGACAAGATTAAAAAAAAAAAAAAATCAGGATGTCCATTGATGAATTTCTAAAAAAAATATGTTTTTAAACCCCATCAGAATCGTAAAGTTTTTGAAAACTATTTTTCCAAAGACCCCTCAAAGAGTAGATTTGGAAAAAAATATATTTTTCCAAGCGTCGATTTTTTGAAACATATTAGAAAAAATAGTTTTCAACGCCCATCAAAAACGTAGATTTCTTAAACCGAACATATTTTCCGGATCGGATTGATTTAAAAAATCCAAAGACCATTGATTTAAAAAAAAAATCCCAGCGCCATTGAAATTTTTTAGAAGTATTTTAAGGAGATCTGGAGCGTAAATTTAAAAAAAAAGTTTTTTTTTAAAGAAACTCGGATTATTTTAATGAAAAAATGGACCACCCTCCTTTGGTGGTTGGTGGGTAATTTATTAGTTTTCAAATTTTTAATAATCATTTCTTTGGTCTGGCCAACACTTTTTTGTTGTCCTCTTATCTCAAGAAAGCCTCCCACTCCTTCTTCTTAATAACAGCAAGATTGTCTTATTTATGTTCTCCTTCCGACTTCTTATGACTTCAACCCCCCCCCCCCCCCTTTTTTTATTGTTGTCTTTGGTATTTAATTAATTTAACAAATTTCTTATCTACGATGTTGTATTCTATTTAATGTTTACACTACGCATTATTGGCTTTACGTTAATGAAACAAGAAAAAAGACAAAATTCCAAAAGAAAGTAAACACGGAGTAGCAGAGATGAAGAAATTCAAAAAACAAAATACAAAAGTTGGAGGTTTATTTAGTGCACACGCAATGCTCGATGCGATAAGAAACAGATTAAGATATGATCTTTTTTTTTGGTTTAATGTTAAACGGAAATTGAGCTCTCAAAGGAATGCAGGGGAATTCTGGGGGAGAGATGTGGATGGGGAATGGAATTTTTCACAAATAGAAGTTCATTGACACGTGGCCTGTGACAATTATATCTCAGTCGATGATATAAAACAGATAGGGATTTTTGTTACATATCCGGTAATGAAAACGTATTCCAAAGAAAAAGGCTTCAGATTTCAAAATTGTCAACTTATTGTAATTCCATCAAGGCTTCAATATCCAAATTGAAGCCTTGATGGAATTACCTTAACTGTCTCATATATTTTGAATTTTTGTTTTTCCAAATTTCAAATGACCTGCAAGAAGTATCGCTTTCGAATATAGGTATCTCCCCACTCATTCCCCCTCCTCGTACTATAAGCCAAATTGTAAGTACCTAATAACCTCATTTGACATTAAATAGCGTATTGAAAAGAAACTCCGTTATCATCTCTTCATTTATTTGTAATTAGTTTTTTTTTTCAAAATGATAAGACTTTTCGAGTAACAACCTGTACATCATAACCTCAATTTTACTCTTACACACATACCTTAATTACACATTTATAATAACCTCAAAATGTAAAGGAATGTAAGATGTGGTGTAAGAAGTACTTACACCAACTAAACATTGGTATTTGAAGATTTATTTTTGTTTTTTTTTTTAATTTCTTTAACGGGCTGTTATCTTAATTTGCCATACCATCCATGGTCGTTAACGCACAGCCCCCAAATTGTTGTCGTCTGGCTCTGGTGTTACGCATCATCATCACAATCTTTGCGCTTCCGTACTTTATTAATGATCTGTGTTATGAATGTGACATATTTTTCTTTTTTGAAGGCAAAATTAAAATTGAAAAAAATATTTTCAATGGTTCATTGAAAATAATTAAGAGGATTTAAATTACGGATTTTGTATACTTGATGTCAAATATTTATTTTTGTTGAAATAAATATTGACCGAAAAGGTAAATTGTATTTGTCAATGGTCGTGGTTTGAGTTTTGAAATCAATACAATTGCCAATTGTTCCATATTGTTGTAATTTTCGAATTAAAATTGAGTGAATTATATTTTTTTAGATACAATCAAATATGAGGAATGGGTTAATTTAAAAAAAAATATATATATAGAGTAACTTCGGGTAATGTGGGCTATGCGTCTAAAAATATTCGATGTCGGGTAATGTGGACCATATATGAGGACCTATAAAAAAGTGGGACCTTTTCATGAAAACGAGGTCGAAACATGGGCGCATTTAATATGCGAGAAGGTACTCTTTCCTCTGAAAACTCGATATGCGAAATTACAGGTGCTTCGGTTGGATAATGAAGCAAGGACCTTCAAAATACCGCAAATGGGCCGGTACCCTTTAATTTATATTTTCAAAGGACTAGAAAGTTGTGTTGATCGAAAACAAAATTTTGAAGTTATGATGACTGGCAAGGTTTGCATTTAAAAAAAGAATCAACACAAATTAGAGTTTTTGAATGATATTCAAAGACTGAATTTTTTAAAACAAATTTTTTTGAGGTACGGACAATGCCTGGATTTTAAATACAATTTGAATAATGAACAAATATTTTTTGAAGGATTAATAAAACTTAATTTTTCTAAGAACTAGGAAGGTGGTGATTTTTTAAAAATGACATTTTTTTTGAAATTTTTTGAGGCATTTACTGATTAATAAAACTTGGATTTAAAACCTTGTTAAGCACTAGTTATTAAGTGATATATATTTTAGTATTAGTATCAGGGCCAGCGGAGTTTGAATGTACATAAACCATATTTTAGAAAAGTATAGAAGAGCGTGACAAAAATATATATTTTTTTATACCCTACACAACTATGTTGTCAGGGTATTATAGCTTTGTACAGCCCCAAAAGTTTGTAACGCCGCGAAATATTGGTCCTACACCCACCTTTAAGTATACCGATCGTCATATCTCGACTAGCTGAGTCGATCTAGACATGTGTGTCCGTCCGTCCGTCTGTCCATTATAATTTGTAAACACGATACAGGCCACAGTTATGGACCAATCTTCACGAAATTTTGCATGTAGGTTAGGTTCTGGCCAATGAAGACCCCTATTGTTTTTGGTAAAGATCGGTTAATATTTAGGGAATGAAATGGACCAAATACTAAATTTTTGTCAGTTTTTCTGGTCGCTCCAGAGGCCGCAATAATGGCCCGAACATCGTGATATGGCCCGAACATCGCCAAAGTATAAGCATGCCTGTTTTCATAAAGATCGGTCAATATTTAGCGGGTCAAATGGACCCTGACTTTTGTGTGAAAAATGACAAAATTTGTATTCTATAGCGTATATATTTACCCCTGAAGGACAGGTACCCGAAACGTTTATATTATATCCAAGAGGAGTGGTTGACCTTTAAATTAATACCAATTATATTGTTGTATGTGCTCGGATGTGGGAGTTACACCTAAATATTTACAGGTATCTCCGTATTCGTTTATTATTTAGTAAACCATTATCACTCTAGAGAGCGAACATCACAACACAACCCACGGTGAAGGGAATCTGGACAATAGCTGTACTGAATACTGGTAATATTCGGAAAATATGTCAGTGTGAGGAAGAGGTGCTGTTTACCTCTAATCGGGCAAGAGGGTGCAAATATCACGAAATATTGCCCAGGCTCGGAATAAACATCCGCAGAAAATTTGAGTTCCGTGGCAGTTGTGTAGGGTATCGTATGGTCGGACCGTCCGACTATACTGCTCCGCTCACTGGTAAAATATATTTCTCAGGGAATACTCTTTTTTAAATATTAAAAAATACATATATATATATATATGTATATTATATTTTAATTTTTTTTAAGTAGCCACCATATGCTGAATATATTAAATTTTTTTTGAAGGACCAGCAAGGCATAGATTTGTAAAAGGATTATATGTTAGGGAATGTTTCTTTTTTTATATTTTTGTTTCAGGAACTGTTAATGCATGCATTTTAGATATATTTTGAAGGAAGATTTTTTACTAAATAAAAATATTTTCTTGTATTAAAAAAAAATTAAGTAGTCACAATGGCTTGTATATTTTATTTATTTTGAACGACTCGCAAGGCTTAGATTTTTTAAAAGGAAAAGGTAAGATTTTTAAAATATATGATTTTCTAAGGTCTGAATATTTTTCAAATCTTTTTAAAAAAATTAGAAGGATTGACACAGCGTTGATTTTTAGTTTTTTTTTTTTTTAAGAAGACAGCAAAGGTTAAATACCAAAAAATTCCACACTTCTCAGTGGCAGTAGGAGTAATTGCTATAAGTGTGTAAATTTTCAAAACAAATATAAATATTTCGAGCTCTATCGTAATTTCACCCTCTTTTTAAGTTTTAACAATTAATTAGCCTTTCCTCACGTAAAATTCCGAATGTCAATGACTTGACAAAAAATCAACAAATGTGCATAAAAAAAATATTTCCACAAAATAAACGATTATTTGAATTTCCGGTTATCTTAGAACAATCAAAGAAAGAACATTTGACAAATTTCAAATAAAAATCTCCTGGCCGTTAACACCCACGTTTAATAGGCTGTGACTGATATGTCGGCAAAAAGGCATAAAACGTGCTTAATGACTCGTTTACTTCCTCTCTCTATCTCTCTTTTTCCACACTTTACTCAAAAAGGAAATAGGGAAATTTTCTAACAACTAAACATAATAAAATACAACATATGTAAATACAAAAAAAAGAGAACACTTGTGTGTTTACAAAAGAGAATGACGGGGAACAAAATTCGAAGGAAAACATCCTAAGACAAATTTTGAATATTTAGAAAAATAATCGAGATTTGTGTTAAGAAGAACATGTGTGAAGGATTTCTTCAATTTTCTTTAAATTCAAACGAAAAAAGAAATCCTAAGGGAATTTTTTTTTTAACTTTTTACAAAAAAAATGTTTGAAGGTTTTGAAATAAAACATGTGTGTGCGGAATTTCCCCTATCCAAATGTTCCTCAAGTGATTTAGCAATTTTTCTATTTCTAATTAATTCTTATTTTTCAATTTTTATTTTCTTTTCTACTTACTGTAAACGATCCTCAGCGGGTCCGCCTTTCAAAACATCTGATACGGCAATTGAAGGATCACCGTTAGCAAAATGTGGATTATCACGACCACCGGAAACGGCAATACCAAAACCATAGCCCGGCACACGAGTTACCGAAACTGTGTGATATTCCCATGTTGTACGATCACCCTGTAAAAGAGAGAGAGAGAGAGAGGGAGACAAGTTAGAGAAAGGAAGGAAATTAATAAAAAAATATTCAAATAAAAAATATTATAATTTTGTAACATAAAAAGAAAAATTATGCTCCAATGAATATCTTAAAAAAAAATATTTAAAATGAAGACTTCATTAAAAAAATCGTGCGTGAATTAACTAACCGGAAATGCAGCAGGTAGGTAGTAATTTTCAACATTTATTTCCATATGAATAATAAAGTAAACGAAAAAGAGAAAAAAACATAAATGAAATACGTGTTTTTGATGTAATCTTTTTAGTCTTTTATCTATTTGGGAGGTGGCCAATAATGAAGATTGAAGAGCGACCAAAATGAATCACCAAAAACACAGACACACATTCGAAAACATTTTAGTCTTTTGCATTTTGTAAAGACATTTGTAGACGTAGATATTTTTGGAGGTTTAGCAAGGCGTAAATTTTTATACCCTGCAGAACTATGTTGTTAGGGTATTATAGCTTTGTGCAGCCCCAAGAGTTAGTAACGCCGCGAAATATTGGTTCTAGACCCACATTTAAATATACCGATCGTCATATCTCGACTATCTGAATCGATCTAGACATGTGTGTCCGTCCGTCTGGTACAGTACGGTACAGGCCACAGTTATGGACCAATCTGTTCGAAATGTTGCATGTAGGATAGGCCAATGAAGACCCTATTGTTTGGTGATGATCGGTTAATATTTAGGGGATGAAATGGAATGTCGCTCCAGAGGCCGCAATTATGGCCCAAACATCGCGAATTTTTCCATGGTGAAATGGATCGGGTCAAAAAATAAGCACGCCTGTTTTGATAAAGATCGATCAATATTTAGCGGGTCAAATGGACCCTAACTTTTCACATATTATTTAGTAACCCATTACCATACTAGAGGGCGGAAATATAGCGCTGATCGCTTTGAAATTTTCCATGAAGTTCCAGGTAGGATCAAGGACCACGCCTTTAATTTTTGGTGATGATCAGATAATAATATTGGGGTGAGGTGAACTGAAAACCTAATGTTTTGTGTTTTTTTTCGAGTCGATCTATAGGCCACAATTGAAAGTTGAAATTAATCTGGATAAGTAATTAGAAGGGATGTACTGAATATTAGTAATATCTGTTGACTTCTAGTCGGTCAAGAGGATGCAAATATAGCGAAATATTGCCCGAACTCAGAATATAGAACAACAGAAAGTTTTATTTTCGTAGAAGTTGTGTAGGGTATCATATGGTCGGCCTCGTCCGACTATACTGCTCCGCTCACTAGTTTATAAATATTTTTTGGAGGTCTATAACAAGGCGTATATTTTTATACCCTTGACCACACTGTGGTACAGGGTATTATGTCATTGTGCATATGTTTGTAACAGGCAAAAGGAATCGAGATAGACCCATGGTTCCTTTTGAGAATATGTATAAAATCACATTCTGAGTGGATTTATGCGTGTCTGTTGATGATAAATTGCACAGGTTAAAGCACAGTTCGCATTTATAATCCGATTTGAATGAAATTTGGCACAAGTCACTTATTTAGCCCAAAGACGAACCCTATAGAAATTGGAGAACATCGGATTAGATTTAGCTATAGCTCCCATATAAAGTTTCGCCCGATTTTAGGTAAATTGTGCACTAATGGCCCTGATAATCATTCGATTTATACGGATTTTGGCATAGTGTACTGAATTAAGTACAGAATGACGAGTGGCAAGTTTCGTGAAAATCGACTCAGATTTAGATATAGCTTCCATATATAGTTTCGCCCGATTTTAGGTAAATAGTGCTCCAAAGGCCCTTAAAATTATTCGATTTGTACGAATTTTGGCATAGCGTACGGAATTAAGTCTAGAATGATGTGTGCAAAGTTTCGTGAAAATCGACTCAGATTTAGATATAGCTCCCATATATAGTTTCGCCCGATTTTAAATAAATGGTGCAACAAAGTCCCTGAAAATCATTTGATTAGCACGAATTTTGGCATAGCGTACGGAATTAAGTCTAGAATAATGTGTGCAAAGTTTCGTGAAAATCGGTTCAGATTTAGATATAGCTCCCATATACAGTTTCGCCCGATTTTAGGTAAATTGTGCTCCAAAGTCCCTATATATCCTTCGATTTGCACGAAATTTGGCACAGCGTACTGAAATAAGTCTAGGACGAAGTGTGTTAAATTTCGTAAAAATCGGTTCAGATTTGGTTATAGCTCCCATATATATTTTCGTCCGATTTATGGTAAATGGTGTAACAAAGTCCCTATATATCATTCGATTTGCACGAAATTTGGCACAGCGTACTGAATTAAATCTAGAATGATGTGTGTTAAATTTCATGAAAATCGGTTCAGATTTAGATATAGCTCCCATATATAGTTTCGCCCGATTTTAGGTAAATTGTGCACCAAAGTCACTGAAAATCACTCGATTAGTATGAATTTTGGCATAGCGTACGGAATTAAGTCTAGAAAGATGTGTGTTAAATTTCGTAAAAATCGGTTCAGATTTAGATATAGCTCCCATATATATTTTTCCCGATTTAAGGTAAATGGTGCACCAAAGGTACATAGGCCTATTGACACAACGGACACAACGTAATGAAGTCAATATAAATTAATATCTGGCAAGTTACCTTGTAATCGGTTCAGATATAGATATAACTAGCTTCCATATATAATTTCGACTTATTCATGTTAATTGTATAACAAATAACCAATGGGTCAATGTCGGCCCAGTCCCACTTTACTACTTTCCTTATAAATATTTTTATAGGTCTATAACAAGGCGTAGATTTTTTTACAAATATTTTTTAGAGTCCTATAACAAGGCGTTTATAGATTTTTTAAGAAAATATTTTTTTAAAGAATATTTTTTCAATATTTTTTTAAAAGAACATTTTAAAAAAATTAAAAAAAAAATTTCAATAATTTTTTGAGAAATTTTTTTTAAATAATTTTTTTAAAGAATATTTTTTAGAAAATTTTTAAAAATATTTTTTTTTTGAGAGGATTTTAAAACAATATTTTTCAAGAGATATTTTCAGATATTTTTTTTATTAATTTTATTAAGATTTTTTTTTCAATTTTTTTATATATTTCTAATAATATTTTCAGCACCTTTTTTAAAGAATTTTTTTAAGGAACATTTTAAAAAGAATATTAAAAAATAAGAAAAAAATTAAATAAAATGTTGAGGAATATTTTTTAAAGAATATTTTTTAGAAAATTTTCTAAAAAAATATTAAAAAATTTCTAAAAAATAAAATAATATTTTTCAAGAGATATTTTCAGAACTTTTTAATAATTTTTTTTTCAATTTTTTATATATTTTTAATAATATTTTAGCACCGTTCAGTAGCGCTGATTGTTTTAAAGAAAGAATATTCTCTATGGATGTCTCAAGGAATACTTTTTTCAAATATTTTTAAGCAATATAAATTCAAGATTTTTTAAAAAATCTTCAAACATAAATCTGAGGCGTAGATTTTTTTTAACAAAATGTTGGAATGTTTATTTTACTTTTAGAGCAATTATTTGCCAATTTTCTTTAAATTAGGGTTCTTTTAAAAAAATGAAAAATTTTTTTTTAATATTTGAAGGTTAATTGTTTGGCTTATAGAAATCGAAACCATTTAAGTCTTTGTTTATTTTTTTCATATTTGGAATCAAATACTTCAATTTCGTGTCTATCAATATTTTATGCAATATGTAGTTTCATTATAAATATTACCATTCAATATTCACTGAAGCATTAAATCAAAAAAAAAAAAAAAACATCTACACCTGCATTTCAAATCAACTTTGGCAATAGAACCTAAATACACAACCCACAAATTATGGGTTTGTTACTTAACACACACACACACACCATAAAAAATTAAAACAAAAAAACTAAAAATTGTGATGTAAAACTAAATTTTACTATTAATAAAAATAATAGTAAAACTAGAAAAAATGGTTTTATGTAAATTTTGGTGTATTTCATTTTTTCAGTTTATTGAACTGAATTTGCATTTAAATTTTCTGTTAATTTATGTCTCATGAAAATTGTTGTATACAAAGAAAACAAGTCAGGCTAAAAGTCAGTCAGTCATATGACAGACGATGACTTAACGCCCACACACACAAAAACACGCTGTCAAAGGGGCTTAACCAACTTCGATGCATAATAATATTTCATTCACTTAATATTAAACAAATTTGGGTTTGAAAACATAAAAAAACAAAAAAAAAATTGTATCTAATTTACAGCTTTTGTTTGTGAATGTGAAAAAAAATAATAACCAGTAAAATTAGCTATTTTTTTATAAATAAAGTATCACATGTTTAATCAAGATTACATGATGTCTTAATTAGAAGAGACAATTTAAATATTATAAAAAATTAAAAATATATAAAAGAAAAATTATATAAATAAAAATTATAAATAAATTCTTACCAAAATATTATTCGGAACATATTCAGGAAATTTCATTTTATCTTTTATTCAAATGAAGGCCTGCGTAGTTTTTTTTTTTGGTTTTTAATATTATTAATTTTTTCTTGTATATTAAAAAATAAATAATATTTAATATCGTTAAATAAATTTATTGGTCTCGTTATTCTCTCTCCGTAGTAGTTCGTTTATTTTTGAATATTTCTTTATTTTTTAATAACACTTAAGGCAAGGTCATTTAGAATATTGTTGTTGTTTGTTTTTGTTATTTCGTTTAAATTTATGCAATAATAATTACGTAGTCATTTAAAAATTAATTATTAGAATTCTATTTACATTTTTATTACTATTATACAAAGTATTTTTTGTATGTGTGAGACTGCAGATACTGGAATAAATATTAGCTATTAAAATAAATAAATAAAAGGTAAACGCAATTAGAAAACTAGTTTTCTTATTCAATTTTTTGTGGTTGCCTCATATTTGTATTTTGCATCTGGAAATCCCCAATGATTTGCAATTAACAAAATAGATTGTCGATTCATTCA